TGGGGAGTTGTAATGATGGTTGTCATGGTGGCTGTCTTGGTGATGGTGATTGTTGAAATAGTGACTATCGTGATACTGATAGTGAATTCTCGATGGCGGTTGTGATGATGGTGATGATCAGTGAGGATATTCCAAGGTTATCAATAGCGATAGTGGTGAGGGACCCGGTAATATTGATGGTGAAGGTTCCATGCTTCCTACTGGTTGTGGTGATGGTGATGGTGGTGACTGAATCGGTGTTGTGATGATATTAAGTTGAAAAAATGCAGGTTGGGTCGATATAGTAATGAGGATTTACCCAACTATCTGTATATCTGTTCTACCTCTCTATCTACCTACCTCTCTTTCCATCTTCCTGTGTGTTTATCTACAAATCTATTTATCCACAAATCTGTCTATATTCTTGATTATCTGTCTGTCTTCCTACCCTTCCCCCTTCCTTCCTCCTTTCCTTTCCTTCCTTCCTCCCCTTCCCCTCCCTCCCTTCCTCCCCTCCCTCCCTCCCTCCCCTCCCTCCTCCTCCCTACCTACCAACCTACCTATCAATCCATCTACTTACCCATGTCCATCTATCATCCACCAACCTCAAGCGCCATGGTTAACTTAACCAATAATCCACTAAAACTAGAAAAAGTGCGAGACGTGAAGACAAAAAGCAGTTGAATATCAAACAGCTGGACGACGACTCCACTAACTGCCCATAGATAGATAAGGCGATAAATAACTCGTAATAAATGGTTTGTAAATTACATGTATGATATATAGGCCTGTCTGCGTCAAGGTTGTGTGCCGTGGCCATATATGTATGCTAGAAAAAATATATATGCAAATTATGCACGGGAAGGATCTAACAAATAGATTAGGAATGAAATCGGTGTTTGTAAATGGAGTTCATTGTTACTGTGTTTACGAAAATGTTTATGTTTATAGACTAAGAAAAACAATTTAAGTCAATTTACATGAGATATTTTTCGGATTTCCGCGTTGCTCGTTTTTCTTTCTTTCTTTTCTTTCTTTTCTTTCTTTCTTTCTTTCTTTCTTTCTTTCTTTCTTTTTTCTTTTTTCTTTTTTCTTAGAATTTGAATTGAAAATTAAGATCTGTAAATAAGCAAGCGCCATGAAATAATCACAAATACATATTCTCCCAGATTCATTATTAACCAAGCATCGTCGCATGAATGGAGGTCTTCGATTTATAGACGAATGATCATAAATTATCTATACACAGGCTTAGAAACACAGCTTTAGAAACCATGAGTATAGAGAGAGAGAGAGAGAGAGATGAGAGAGAGAGAGAGAGAGAGAGAGAGAGAGAGAGAGAGAGAGAGAGAAGAGAGAGAGAGAGAGAGAGAGAAGAGAGAGAGAGAGAGAGAGAGAGAGAGAGAGAGAGAGAGAGAGAGAGAGAGAGAGAGAGAGTGTGAGTGAGTAACCTGGTATCTGCTTGTATACTGATCGTAAGCGCGATTCACCCTCCCTGTTATAATGACCTGCTTAGCTCGTGTTGTTAGATTAACTAAATTGCCATATTCCTCTCTTTACAATTAATGCTTTGCGTCAAATTTCCGAAGACGAAGAATCACACACACCGCATTCTACCCACTTTTAATTGCTTTTACCGCCATCAATCGGCAAAGGATATGGCTAATGAAACCCCATTATAATTGCAAGTTTTATAGCCTCAGACAATACTACTAATATCCTGTCAAGACCAACAATCACTCATGTCATCACCCAACGACTTTCATCTGTTGTTAAGTTGTTTACGAGTGTCGTTCTCTGTAACTTTTTTTTTATCTGCGTGTTCGTTTGTGACTCGGAAGACAGTGAACAGGTTTCGAATCGATGGTGACCAAAGCAGACTCTATTACCATATAATTATCGTTGTTTTTCTTTCGCTCTGTGAAAAAGAAATAAAAAAAAAAACATTTCCACTAACTCAACGAGCTACTTTGACGTCGCAATTGACATGTACGGTGACTGCTTCGGTGTTGTAAGAGAGATAAAGACATGATGTTTCGAATAGATTTTCGGGTTGGTTTGATTGGCATGTCGGCTTATTGTGGCGGAGATGAGCGGTGAGAGTGCAAGAGATCTGTGGCAGGATAATGCATGTAAAGTGGTTCGCAAAAACTGTCACTTTTTTCAACACCACTTTTTCATATGCGTATCTGTGTGTGCTTTTTACGTTTTTAGTTTTTTACATTTTTGTCCTTATATATCACCCTGTCATTTTATGTATCATTTCATTTTTTCTTACTTTTTTACTTCCATCATTTTAGATAAATGTATGTTCGCGATAAAGATAATTACAAAACAAAGTTAAAAATCACCACCTTGCACAACCGCTCAAAAAAAGATATAGATACACTAATATGGATAATGTTTACGTACATATGTGTGTGCGTGTGTGTGTGCGCGCGTGCGCGCAGGAAATACATGTATATCTATGTATAATGAACTTTACCTTTCCATCTGTCTTTCTATCTATCTGTGTTGTCTACGTGTGTGTGCGTGTGTGTGTATGTGTATGTATTTCTGCTTTTTTCTTCATTTCATCTTGACTTATTGTGAGAAGAAAGAAAGAGGAAAGAAACAGACACAATACTAGGAATAAAGCACAGAGAGAAAAAAAAAAAAGAAAAAAGAAAAAAAAAAAGGATTTCTTATAACACATGTCATATGACTTTATTAATAACCTCTCCGTGGGTGCCGCGGCCATGGTCATCGCCTACATGTGACAGTGCCATGATGGGTTCTAGGCTTATTCGGTCGAGTGCCAAGCGTGCAGGGTGCCACGTCGTGTAATGGCACGTGGGGAGGAGAAGGGGGAGAGGAAGAGAGAAAGAAATGAAGAAAGTAAGAGGGGGAAAGGAGAGAGAGACGAAAGCAGAGACAGGCAAAGAAAGAAAGAAACGAGAGAAGAGAAGGAAAGAATGAGAGTGAGAGAGATAATGAGAGACTATTAGAAAGAAAAGACCTTTGATAAATGTGTATCCAAACTTGTCCGTCCATTCTTCCTCCCATCCCCCCCCCTTCCCGTCCCCTCCCCTCCCTTCCCCTCCACCCATTCTCCTTCCCCTCCCCCTTCCTCCCCATCTCCTCTCTCCTTCCTCCCCCCTCCCCTCCCCCTCCCCTCCCCCATTCCCCTACCTTCCCTCCCCCCATCCCCTCCCTTTCCCCTCAACCCTCCCCGTCCTTCCCCTCCACCCCGTCCCATCTCCCTCCTTCCCCTCCACCTCATCCCGCCCTTCCCCCTACTTCCTCCCTCCCCCCTCTCCCTCCCCTCCCCTCCCCTCCCCTCCTCCCCCCCCCCACCCCTTCCAACCCAACCACCCATAAGGAAGTCATAAAAGCACGCCAACAACTTGCCAATAACAGTGCCAAGCGTCAGTGCCAAAGCGAGTGCCGCGCCTTCCATCCCCAGCGCCTCCAGGGGGGTTGGGGCACGGTGGGCGGGGAGGGAACCCTGTCTGTTTTGGTTTTTAATGTTTTTGTTTATGTTCTTTGTTTGTTTTTTGGTTATCTGTTGTTTTGTTTGTTGTTTTTGTTTTTTTGTTGTTTGTTTTGATGTTTTTTGTTGTTATTGTTTTGATGTTTTTGTTGTTTGTTTGATGTTTTTGTTATTATTGCTGGGATGTTTTTGTTTGTTTCATATTGTCTGTGTTGTGTTTGTTTGTTGTTTGTTTTGTTGCGTTTTCTGTTATGTTTGTTTGTTTGCTCTTGTGGTTTGTTGCATTTATGATAATTATTATTTTATGAATTTAATTATGATCATTTTGATTCTACTGAGGACTGCGATTAACATTATGATGGGAATGGTAATGTTTCTATTCATAGTAACAGTGATGATGATGATGGTGATGATAATGATGATGGTGATAATGGTAATGTTGATAATAAAGAAGATAATAAAGAGAATAATAATGGTGATGATGATAAAGTTGTTGATGATGATGAAAGTTGATGATGATGATGATAATAATGGTAATGAAGATTCTGATAATGTTAATAATAATGATAATGATTATGATAAAGATGATGATAAAGATAATGGTGATGATAACAATAGTGATAATGATAACGATAACGAAACGATAATGATAATAACAACGTTTATGATAGTGAAGAAGATGAAAGACATTGCCATAAAGAAAGCAGCACATCTGGATTATCTTAGACACTGAAGTTGTTGACAAAAAGAACCTTTTCTTACCTTCGCCTCGAGCTCTACAACGCCAGGGACAGACACGTACTTCGCCACCGCCTCTCTCGACTCTACAAAACCTGGAAAAGGCAATTGTTAAATAAATCAGTGAGTGTTTTTTCCGATCTGTGGGGTAATTAAGTCATTTTCGAATATATTTGATGCATTCCTGTTAATAATAACAAATGGAATCTAAGTGAAATAGGAAATAAACATCTTCATAAATTCTTCTTGTTCGCTTTTTCAGGATCCGGTTGCTTTGTCGGTTTAAATTCTTTCTACGTCAGTTTTGCACTAGAACAAGTACCACTTCTCTAGCTAATTATCCTTTCTTTTCTCTATCTCTTTTAATAAATAAATAAATATATTAATTCTGAAGTATAAGGTAAGCGTAAGTTATTTAGTGCGGTTTTTTACTGACAGCTGATGTGAGACGTAAAACCTGTTTATACTGGTATTCGAAAGCGGTCATGTAGATACCGGCTGAACACTGGATTTGATGTGTGGTGTGTGGATGATGTATATATATAATATTATATATGTATATATATACATATAGGTATATATATACAGTATACATAGTAGTAATTATATATATGATATATATATATATATATATGTAATATATATACAATAACAAAGCTATATACTTATTATTTATATATATATATACAATATACATTATACATACATACTACATTATATATTATTATTTAAGTATATAATATTAGTTTATTTGTTTATTTTTTTGTATTATAGTTTATTTTATTTTATATTATATATATATATATTTTAT